GAGTGTGCCCGGACAGCAATTCAGGCTTGCACAACCAGTCTTGGCACCAAAAGCCTAGAGCCAATTTCCAATATAATATGGACTGCACTTTTCAGAAAAAGGAGGAAAATCAGTTTTAGAAGAAGCAAAACTAACTTAGATCAACAAAGGACTCAAGACAAGAAAAACTGACATAACACACAGATAATGAAATCAGTCATCTAGAAGCAATATAATATAAACAATCAACTGTACACAAGAACTAAAATGCATTGCATGGAGGAGAAAGAGCTAAGAGTACATTATCAATACTGCATGGGGTGCAAATCTCTAGCTAGCTGCACAAATGCATACACGCAGACAAATAATTAAAGGAAAGTAGTTTTTCATTTTATACAAAGTTTTTCAAAATTCTGTCACACCATCTCACACATACACCTTTAATTCTCTCCAGCATGGAAAGAACAAAATCTCTAAGATAATTTACAGATTAGCACAGCAAGTAAAACCTGAAGAGTTCCTTCTGTCATCTAAACAATGTAAATCACACTTTTTGCATCATATGTAGCTTGAAAAAGAATACTAGTCAGTGACTGACTCTGCTAATGCAGGATTTGGAAATTAACTCGGGAAGAAATCTGTGTGTACATTAGGTGAATGTTAATTACAGGGAAATATGATGAGACGCAAAGTTGCTTTAATGTAACAGATCCCACTTCCCAATTGTTTTAGTTGTAGAAATGGCCATAAGAAAGTCTCCTTTACGGAAACCCAAGAACCAAGTAGGAGAGCCAAATCTGCAAGCTTACCAGGGATTTCATAAACTAAATTGAGATCTCAGTGTCATTTTTTGTTACTAGTTAGGACATTTGTAAAAGCTTTTAGAAACCTTTTCCCCTGGCTGCAGGAGCACAATGAAACTGTCTGCTGGATGGTCAGACTCTGAGGGCATGTTAAGAGAGTTAAAAGACAAGCTTTCAGCTTTAGCTAACACACAGTCCAGCATGACTAGCAATCTAATCATGGAAGAGTATGTGACCATCACACACTGCCTTTAAAACTATTTCAACTTCAATCTGTAAGTTCTGAGGTCTATGGGGATGCTAATTGTTAATGCTCACTAGACATTCAGTTGATAATATCCTTTTATGCCCTGGTAATTAGTAAGTGCTCTTGTGCCCTGAGTTGGTAACTGTAACCTGAGATGCAGAACATGGGCAGAAAACCTGAGAACCAGAACTATCCTTTCTGCAAGGCAAATAGCAATGTTTCTTGGTGCTTTAGGATTGGTGGGAATACATACTTTCAAGAGCATGAGCCTCTCCAAAAAACTCTTATTCTGAGATGGAAGACTACTTTTTGTTTGTGCTGGATCCAAACAGAAAAACAGAGAAATAATCTCAGTCTTACGACCAAATTCTGATGCCTCCCATCATAAGCCCTGGGGAAAATTTTTAAAGTCTGAATATTTGAGCCATAATCCTGATCTCACAGACTTTCCACTACAGTAGTTACGACTACTTTTCTTTCATCCATGTGTTGGTTTTTTTTAATACAGGACTACAAACCAGTCTTGTTGACAAATTGCTACTTATTTTTGCCACACATTGATAAGCATGAAAATGCTTTGAAGGATCAAGACCAGTGTCTTTGGGTTGCACACAGAGGTTGCATGAGTTTCATCAGCCACCCTTACTGGCAAAAATAACAGATTCTGGGATACAGTATTATGTAGGTACATGACACCACAAGGCCAACAAACCAAATTACTCCCCAAAAGTCTCTGAATAGACTGATTTTATTTGTAATCATTTCAAAGAGTCATATGTTTGATGGCAGAGAGTCCAGCTTTGCTCTGAAATACAGCTCACTGATACTGAAAGCAGCTTACTTTGTTCATAAGATGTTCCTAAATATGACTGTGTGGAAAAGTTCAATCTCATGAATTCCTAAGCCATCTAGAGCAACTGACCCCTAAGAAGACATTTCCCTTCTAGCTACTTTCCTCTCTCTCACACTTTCTACTCTTGGATCTTTATCACTGGAGTCTGTTGCCTCACAGACCGAAGACAATCTGAGAGGAATGTGTTCCAGCTACTAATGAAAAGGATTTTCATATAGTAAACTATCAGTTAACACATATTTCTAAAGAAAAAGGACAGCTATCCTATCATTGAGGGAAAATGTTCTATAGTCTTAAATGTAGCGTTTCATACTTTAGGCATATGTACTTTCATTTAAAGAGCACCTATAGAAGAATTATGGGTGTTCTTTGAGGAGCACAATGTCTCTGTGTAAAAGGGTGGCTAATGGAACTATGAAAAAATTCCCATCTTCCTCCAGAACTGCTTTACATCTAAATTTACAACCAGTACTAAGAAAACACTTCTAACAAGATTTCTTAAAATTAACTACCACAGGAGGCAAAAATTTAACCTTGTTCTCTGCACTGGAATATCTGTCTCATGCCACAAATATTATAGGAATGAAATACAATGGCAATGTCTTTCTTGTGTGTATCATTTTCATGAATTGAACATCTGCTGTAAAATTAATTTCTGGTCTTGAGATGATGAGATGCATGCATATGCCAACATGAAAAGCACATGAGAAGGCACATAAAAAACCCCAACACAGAGCAATTAAATTCCGTTCTGCCGTTGACTTACAAATCCTAGCAAATCAAGTATTTTTTTAGAAATTTGGTAATGAGTGGTCTTCTCATTCAATGAGTCTTCCTCTAGAGTAACAATCCTTCACCACAATGTATCTCCTTTGTAATGACAGAATGCTGCAATCAAAAAGACCATCTCTTACAGTACTATAACCATAAGATGCTACATAAAACTATCTATAGGCACATCATGCAAACCTTCCCTAATTGGCAATAGTCATAAATTGCTGTTTACTCTTGAGACAATTGTAAAAAAAAAAAAAAAAAAAAGACTAGTATTTTGTTATGAATGTCATTAACTAGATAGAAAGAAAAGTTAAGTTTGTTTCCAATCTCTTTCTTTCAAATGCAATTGCTTGAATTTCCCATCAGAAAACATTCTTCAAAATCAGTGTTGCCTGATATGCTTGCCAGGCTTTATGTACACAAAATCATTTGGCTCGGAAGACCTCTCTTTTAGGCATAATATGCTACTACGGTGGATGAGGAGCAAGGCTGAAATCTGACAACGCATTTTTGCAAGTTTGATAAGCTTCTTGTTTACAGGATGAATAATTCTGATGAGAATAGAAGTCTAGAGAAAATTGAAACAGTGACACCTTCTCAGAAATGTGCTGCGATTCCTATATTTACTGTCTGCACCAGTTCTGGAAGTATTTTAAAACCAGCAGATACTGAAAATGAAGTGCCATTGCTTTAACTGGTGTAGGCAAATGACAGGAATGCAGATGGTAGTACATTCATTTAGGCATTCACTCAGGTGTTTCCCCACTGAAAGCTTCTCTTACTGAAGCACTGGTCCTGAAGATCCCCCTAGACACATCCCCCTTCTAGAAGAGTTTTCAGGGGGAAATCTGTGATGGTATCTTGACAAGGTCACCCACTGAGTGCTCTCACTTTGAGAACCTAAGCATCTGTGAGAAAAATCTAGGGAAGGTAAGTTACATGACACTTCATTTCAGACTGATAGAGATGCTGAGGATCTGTAGTGCTGATTGGTTTCACGAATTCTTCCTGACTTTGGTATGGTGCATGCTATCACTTCTGCCATAAATTCAGAACAGGTCTCCTTAGCAGATGCAGAGATGATCATATTCCTATGACTATTGATCTGGCAGTAAGTTCCTAAAAACGAAATATTTATTTCCCAACACTCCATTTTTCTTTGTCCACTGAACTGAAGCCAGAAATACCAGCTTTCTTCACCTTCAACATCAGCAAAATGTCAGTGGGTTTGGATTTCTTACATTAAAGGAGAAAGAATATGGTTTAGAGTTTTTGCCATTTTTTAATAGTTTGGGCGCAGTTCTCTGAACATCACAGAAATAATATAAAACACTAGTAAGTTTTGATAACATTCTTTCTTTTCAATATCAAAGTCTGAACATTGGATATATCCTAATAAATCATGTTCCTATTTAATTCAGGATAAGAGTCCATGAATCTTGGGGGAGAAAAATAAATTTTGATCACAACAGAGTGATAACTTTGATGGAGATACAGGCAGTCACTGTATTTGCTTACAGTGGATTTGATATTAACTGAGGAGGAATAAATTCTCACAAATTCACACATTGTGAAGTCATGTCTACATCAGATGATTACACAATCAGTTCTTTTTACAAGATTCTAAAACTACTCTTAACTAACTTGCATAGCTGAAAATGAGGATATGCACAACGGGTTAAGCAATCACAATGAACAATACATCAGACTGACTAACAAACAACCAAAGAACCACCTACACAAACCATGCTATTGGATCTAGGTCAAATTTCCACTCAGTACCCACCTTTCACCCCATTGAAAAACAAAACTGACACAAATTGCTGAAGTACTTTCTATGAATGGACTTTGCTAAAGTGAGTTTTGTTATCATGCACATTACATTGGATGTAAACATCAGTATTTATTGTTGTCACTACTCAAAATCAAAGAGCTTATACTGACTTTGAGTACCAATAACTTCATACTATTATCTTCTTAAGACAGACAATATGGAAAAAATATGTGCCTTTGACCTCAAAAGCATGACACTGTATTTTTTTGTTGTTATGAAAATATAACTCAATGTTCACCACACTCCTGCATCTGTCTTCAGGTAAAAAAACAGAAATATGTTGAACT